GCTCTTCTATCCTGATTGACTCCGATCGGCTACTTTAACCTATATACCAGATCACACAACAATTAGGGGCATTAGAAAGACTAGATTATTTTGCCGAATTAGATTTATCGTGTCTCATAAAGCACAAGTTTTCCATGTGGCTTCAAAAATCACTCTAGTTTCATCAAAGTTAAAAACCTACTTAGGCTTTCCCATTTTCCTACTTTCTGTAGCAGTTTAACTGAAGATTTCAATCCATCTTAGACATTTTTAGTTACCACTGATATAATTAGTTTCTCTTGTCAAACTTTATAAATTAACTAACATAATTAGGGCGGCTGTTATTAAATAGTTATTTTGCTTCGATTTGATGAGGGTTCATTACTTCAGTTTCTGTTTTACTCATCAAGCTCTTATCTCAGTTACTTCGATGCATTACCAAGCCTACCTTGATAGATAATCAGTGAGACGACGTTAACTTCAAGAATACATATGTGTAATGGTTTGCTGTGAACGTTCTCTGATAATATGGTTGGGATCAAATAGTTATGCAGGAAACGCTATCCAGTATGTTACACTCTGAAATGCTATTTTATATCAAACACAAATTGGAGGAAGTGCTTGTCCTAAATTCCACTGCTAGCCACTACCACAAAGACTAAATTATGTTTTAATGTTATTCACTAGCTTCATTATTCTGAAGTTCATATACAGAGTGAATAAACTCTGCATACTAAACAGAGACTAAGTTACAACTAGGAATGAATACAAACATATGTTCAATACTATCTATTTACAAAGCAGGGCATTGTATTTTGAAAATAACTTTTAAATATACACATTTAAGTGAGAATACCCACATTTCCAAGATGCCGGATGGTATGACTGATGAGTCCTAAGTTGAATCAAACTCACTTCCGAGATTCCAGCGTCAACTGCAACTGAATTTAAAGCTGGTCCTTTCACTTCTTACAATGCAGTGACAGAAATTAATAAATATCATTACACATGTTCAAAATGCTACCAAAATGTATTACTTGCATACGAACTTATTTATTTAGTGTCACAATATGTTGTTATATTTAATCACAGTTTAGCCTCAATGGTAACCTCCGTAGCCTTTTAAAGGATGGTCAAACGTGAGTGATTATTATCTGTTATTTATTGCCAAACTGAAATGAAGAATGTTTTTCCTATGTGAATTTAATTTCACTCTTTTTCGATAGGTAATCTTTTCATCCTGCTCCAACTGGCTTGCGTTCCACTCTGAATCATTCTGACGTGATATGAGTTTAGTTCAAAAAGGAAAAATGAATTAATTACCTTCACTTAGTAAAATAATGTAAGACAAAAGGAAATGTTATTTTTAGCTGAAGTATTTAATAGGCGACTATGAATATTTCCGTTAGCTGAATTATTCTAATCTAAGGACAAATGTATTAGTCTAATTTTAAATAGCATTCTTATCGCAGTTAAATTATCACCTAAGGGGAAATGTTTGCTACCGGCTAATTATATGCCCTTGATAAATGTTTGTTTCTTTCTCGTATACATTTTCCATAAAAATTCATACGGACTCGGTTCCATTCACATCACTAACTCTCCTGTGAAGTTTGACAGCACCAAGCCACCATTAGTCTGACAAATTTATCTTGTGATTATTCTATGCCTTAACTATTTACTTTAGAGATTCAATTGATAAATTATCAATCTTTGTTAACTTGAGATCGATAACCTGTTAATGATTAGGTTTTCACCACTAGACTGGTATATTGTTTTCTATTTATACAGAGCTGCAAACGAGGAGCTAGTTGAAAAGGAATATTTCTTCGTCTGAATTCTTGTTTTCTAAGTGTTTAATTGAAAGTTTTCAAATCACACAACTATTTAACTTCATTATAAATGTCCAACATTTCTTTATTCTTTCATGTTTATGACAGTATGCAGTGAATCATTCATACTCCATACGTTAGCTGTAGACTTGATCAAGAAAGACTTATTAATCAACTTCTCAATTCACCTGACTATAGTGAATATTAGAAATGTCATAGTTGCTCATTATATATTGTTTTGAGTCAGTGTTTACATAGCAATAACTCAGCTTTTCTGTAAGCTATCTTTTTATGAGTCGAGTCTAAGTTATGTGCTCTTCTATCCTGATTGACTCCGATCGGCTACTTTAACCTATATACCAGATCACACAACAATTAGGGGCATTAGAAAGACTAGATTATTTTGCCGAATTAGATTTATCGTGTCTCATAAAGCACAAGTTTTCCATGTGGCTTCAAAAATCACTCTAGTTTCATCAAAGTTAAAAACCTACTTAGGCTTTCCCATTTTCCTACTTTCTGTAGCAGTTTAACTGAAGATTTCAATCCATCTTAGACATTTTTAGTTACCACTGATATAATTAGTTTCTCTTGTCAAACTTTATAAATTAACTAACATAATTAGGGCGGCTGTTATTAAATAGTTATTTTGCTTCGATTTGATGAGGGTTCATTACTTCAGTTTCTGTTTTACTCATCAAGCTCTTATCTCAGTTACTTCGATGCATTACCAAGCCTACCTTGATAGATAATCAGTGAGACGACGTTAACTTCAAGAATACATATGTGTAATGGTTTGCTGTGAACGTTCTCTGATAATATGGTTGGGATCAAATAGTTATGCAGGAAACGCTATCCAGTATGTTACACTCTGAAATGCTATTTTATATCAAACACAAATTGGAGGAAGTGCTTGTCCTAAATTCCACTGCTAGCCACTACCACAAAGACTAAATTATGTTTTAATGTTATTCACTAGCTTCATTATTCTGAAGTTCATATACAGAGTGAATAAACTCTGCATACTAAACAGAGACTAAGTTACAACTAGGAATGAATACAAACATATGTTCAATACTATCTATTTACAAAGCAGGGCATTGTATTTTGAAAATAACTTTTAAATATACACATTTAAGTGAGAATACCCACATTTCCAAGATGCCGGATGGTATGACTGATGAGTCCTAAGTTGAATCAAACTCACTTCCGAGATTCCAGCGTCAACTGCAACTGAATTTAAAGCTGGTCCTTTCACTTCTTACAATGCAGTGACAGAAATTAATAAATATCATTACACATGTTCAAAAATGCTACCAAAATGTATTACTTGCATACGAACTTATTTATTTAGTGTCACAATATGTTGTTATATTTAATCACAGTTTAGCCTCAATGGTAACCTCCGTAGCCTTTTAAAGGATGGTCAAACGTGAGTGATTATTATCTGTTATTTATTGCCAAACTGAAATGAAGAATGTTTTTCCTATGTGAATTTAATTTCACTCTTTTTCGATAGGTAATCTTTTCATCCTGCTCCAACTGGCTTGCGTTCCACTCTGAATCATTCTGACGTGATATGAGTTTAGTTCAAAAAGGAAAAATGAATTAATTACCTTCACTTAGTAAAATAATGTAAGACAAAAGGAAATGTTATTTTTAGCTGAAGTATTTAATAGGCGACTATGAATATTTCCGTTAGCTGAATTATTCTAATCTAAGGACAAATGTATTAGTCTAATTTTAAATAGCATTCTTATCGCAGTTAAATTATCACCTAAGGGGAAATGTTTGCTACCGGCTAATTATATGCCCTTGATAAATGTTTGTTTCTTTCTCGTATACATTTTCCATAAAAATTCATACGGAGAACATAAGTTTACTTATGACTATTTGAGAGATCGGTATTAATGGAGTCATTCTTTTTCATAGTATAGGAATAAAATCGACAAACATATGGAAAAATTCTTAAAATAAGGAATTGTTTTAAATAAGGAGTCTAGGCTTCGCCGATTAAGTACAGATTTTCTCATTTACATTTACAAAACTCCGTGAAATTTCTAATATACTAATCTATATATTTCAGTGGAAAATGAAGTTGATAAACTAAGAAATTCTGTATATGGGATCGTCTAAATGATAGGACACATTGGTGTTATTCTTGAAATAATTTTAGAAAATAAGTTGTGTAAACGTAAATGAGTGTTTTGATAACGATTATGTTAAAATCTGAGTAACCTTTGAGAAAAAAATTGAAAACCTATAGGAAGAAACTCACACCTACTTAGTTTGCGCAGCACATATAAGTCAAGTAGGAAGTTTTTAGCGAAGGACCACGTCTGTGGGGCTGCAGGACATGAAAAGAGTGACTGACGATTGGTTTTCTTTGCCAATTTTCTGTTTCGAGCCCTATTTTGTCAGTGGATTTAAGATGTAACATTTGAGGGAGTTGGACTACATATTGTGTGTTACAACTAATGATGTGGTTGAAACTGATTTGGAATTACACTCTGATCTTTTAATTTACTAAGAATAAAAATAAAACAGTATAACGAGATTTACCACTAGTCTCTTTAATCCATTTATAACCTTAAAATTCACCAAAAATGTATTCGTATAGAAAAAAGTACACGGTATAAAAGAAGATATAATGAAGCGTCTTAAGTTGTGCGCTATTTCGGTCAGCTTCACTTCTTCAAGCAATGTTGCTGAGTGTCACTTTTACATAACAAACAAAGAGCCCTGATTTTATATCTTTACTTCGCTTTTATCACTATGCCGCTGCCACAGGAACTTGGGAAATTGAACGTCGTCACCGGTGCAAAGTTTCATGGGTTCACATGAAATTCGAAAGAGATAACTACCTTCTTCTTCCTACATTCTTCTTATTGCAGTACAAATAAAGTTATTGTTACCATATGTTTTTCCCCAAGTAAGATTTTGACAGGTTTCACCAGTGTTACATTTTTAAGTGTGAAGTTGACAAAGATTTAATTCACTACATCATTTGATTTAAATATTTTCCTCTAACTTCATAAACTGAAAATGCCTGGAATCAGTCGGAATGCATAAAATTTAATCAGTGTATCTATTTTGAAGGTTACTGCTTGGACAAACTATTTTTTTGCATACAGTTAATACTTTAGTTGAATAAATGCATCTTTTATTACTGTTATTCTAATGTTTTAGGTGAAGAAACGTGTTGGTCAGTCAATAGAAACGTTAGAACCTTTAGCAATCGAAGATCGTGATCTGGAAAAGTTGAATACATTTTTGTATGCCAAGGCATCTACTCCCATCCCACTGAACAATTTAAAACAGCTTATTGTTTGTACGCTAGTCCATAATCCATTTATTCGTTATTCACTTCAAGGTAAATTAAATATATTTCAACATTTTTTTATATGAGAAATCCCACCACACTTTTAACCCTTATGTTTTCCACCAAGATATCCAAAGAGTATACATAGACTTCTGAGGGTGCTAGCAAACATTTCAAACACTTACAAACTAAAAGTGAAAGTACCAGCTATTTCAAACAAAATTCATAATTTTTAATGGCTTACTTTAGAAGTTAGAGGGCTCAAACTAGTTATCATGATGCACTCGGTAGTATTTTTAAACTCAGGCTAAACACTTGTTGCGTTTATCTTGTTGAGGTAATTATGCTGGTCGATGTTCTAGGAATTTAGTTTCTCGTGCTTGTGAATACCTTTCAGAACTGCAAAGTAAAGGTTTAGTGAGACACGCAAATAGTTCAATGTTAATTCACTCGGTTCATACAGACCATGAATCGAATAAGCATAACCATTTTCTATTATTTGCCGTATCCTCAATAATCTGCCGAAAGTTAGATGATACAAATATTTCAAAGAACAGAAGCCACTCGGGGTTAACCTGAATTACGTGTGTGAAAGAAAGAGCTGAAGCCAATAAGACTAAGTTTGCCGGCTTTGGAACAGGTAACTTTCTGGTATAATTGATTTTCTCCACCCAAGTATCATTTATCTTCAACACCATTGACTATTCTATATTAGCGATTGACTGTAACAAAACAAAATTGTTAATATGCACATATTTTCTGATCGAATAATGTAGAAATATGATTGCAGGACATGAGGAGGAAGTAGTATTTCATTCAGAGAAGACAATGAATTTGAGGTTTCCAACAGACACTGTTTGAGCACATGGTAATTTCCGAAGCTGATTTCAGCCGCACAAACCTTACGATAGGAAACCAATCGTTTGAAGTCACAGGATAAATGACTATACTCACTAGATATGTAGATAAGGTAATGAGAAATTTGAAACATTGGTCCATTTATTTTAAATCAATGGACTCCCGTATAGGGGAATATTTCAGTCTTAAGATGATGAGGGTAGGTTTGGATATGATCTGGTGAGTTATAACGACCAGATTTTGTTCAAACCAGTAACTTACTAACTTTTCATTATTTGGATTGATTGGTACTGAGTCTCATAAGGAATACTACTACGAATACATATATAACCAGCTGACGAACCACTAATAGGATAAAACTTGCGTTAGGGTTAGGGTGCTTATCACCACCAAATATGAGTTGCTAAAAGCCTTTAATGAACTAAAATTCTAAACGTTACGCGCTTGGTTTTATCACAGGTGAAACTGTCGCCATAATATCGTTAATTGTTTGACAAGAAAGGTTGATGCCGCACAGTACTCTAGGGGATCTCAAATGCGAGACCAGAATATGCACCTGGAACTTTAGGTTAACTGTCACAACGTAACTTGGGTGATCTCATTTCGTTCAAAATCTATTAGAGGTGTACTTAACATTATAAATTAAAACAGTGAAATTAAGACCAACGTTTTACAACAAAGAGCATGATGTCATGGTAACAGAACCGATTAACTCACTGGAATTCATAGATGAACTTGTGAAGATGACCGTTGGTATATTTATGATTTTCATGCAATGCTTAACACTTTTGAAATTATCCATTTTACCTTTCATTCCATGTATCCAATTTCGATGTTTATTTTGATTCTATTTCGAGAAAAATATTCATCGGAAACATTTTACCAGTAACAAAAACAAAACAAAAAATAATGATTTTCTTAACCATTATAATAGCAATATACCAGCACATGCAACAATCAATAAGGTATTAGTGTAAATTCCACTTAGTAAGAACAACAGTTAAGCTTATGTAGATAAGTTTTTCATTGAAAAGACTGATTTAAATACCCTGATATTACTATCGAAATCGACAGAATGGCACCAATGGTTTTCAACCACTCACGTTGTTTATTCGTACATTCCGTTAGTTCATGAAACTTCTATGTCAGACACCACACTTTGTGGACTTGGCTGGGTAACTGACAATGGAAACATCCTTGAAAAAGCAGGAAAAATATCACCGAAATGTGGCAAATGTCAGAATAAACCTCAAACTTCTAAGTCTCTTAAAAAAACATGAATAACTGTTTTGGGGAGGAAGTCAAAGCAAGACGAGGAATGGATCTCAACGGATACAGGGAAGCTGATAAAGGAGGCAGAGGAAGATGGTGAAACAGAAGATACACCAGTGCAAAGATGAACAACGAAAAGAAGAAATCAACACAACCTACAAAACACTGGACAATGAAGTGAAGAAGAGTGTGCACAAAGACAAAAGACACTTCTACAAGACACTGGCAAGTGAAGCAGAACAAGCTGTAGGCCCGTAGTAGAGGCAAATACCTGAGAACACTACATCAAATAACCAGATTACTATCTCGGAAGAGATCAACATAGATGAAAACAATGAAAGGTAGTGAAGGAAACTTAGCTACCAGCATGGAGGGGAAACGAAGCAGACGATGGGCTGACCACTTCAAAAACTCTTAAATCGAACACCAACAACAACAACACCACCAACACCACTATCGTCTGCAACTCGTCAACAAATACCACCAGCAGCCCTATCACAGAAATACCAGTGAACACAAGCCCTCCGACAAAGGCAGAAGTGAAGTCCTGAACGACATAAAGTGGCTGAAGTCCGGGAAAGCAGCAGGACCAGGTGGAATTCACGCAGAAACACCGAGAACAGACGCAGAGACATCTGAGGCGGATATGCCCACACCACTACTGCAGAAATATTGGGAGGAAGGTACCTGCCCATTGATTGGAAGAAGAACCACCTTGTCAAACTCCCAAACAAGGGTGGGTGACCGAAGTCTTCGCAAGCACTGGTGCGGAATCATGCCGGCTCCCTGTCCACCCCAAGCAAGCAAAATATTAGGCTGCTTCATCCTGGAGAGACTGCAAAATGCTCCGGATTCAGAATTGCGAACGAAACAGACTGACTGGTTGGCTGGCTGGCAGGCTGGCTGGCTTCAGGATGTACAAACCATGTGCGGATCACATTGCAACCATACGCCACACGACATCACAGAACACAGCACAGAATGGCAGTCAACTCCTCATCGAACCTCAACTTCATCGCTTTTGAAAAGGCCTTCGACAACGTCGACTGAGAAGTAATCTGACAGGCAGCTGATTCAACACTACGGTTTTAGTGCCACAAGCCTTTATCAACCTCATTCAACAGATAGCTATGTGACGACGCATCATGCCAAGTGATTCACAACACAATGGAAAGCTCAGTGATGCCTTTGAAGTGAAGACCGAAAGGAGTAAGACAAAGTTGTCACCTCCTATCACCGATGAACTTCCTGATTGTGGTCGACTGGACTGGACTGAACTGGATGATGCAGTAGACTGTGACGAGTGAGAAGATGGGCATGTGCTGGCTGGACCGATGAAGGGACTCCAGGAGAAGAAGACTTGAATTTCGCCGATCATGATTTATGTCCAATGTCTTGTGGCACAAGCTCGAGGATCTACAGGTGAAAACCAAGAAGTTGACAGAAGAGGTGGGGCAGCGAAGATGGATATCCTTCCGATGAGCATAGAGAAGACACAGGTGATGGAGATACTCAATCAACAACAACAGCATCATCAGCAACCAGAAGCACCAAACACCATCAACGGGAGAAACCTAAAGGAAGTAGTCTCTTTCACCTACCCGTCTAGACAGCATCGTTTCAACTACAAGCAGCACAGGCTTAGATGACGATGTGAAAGCCATGATCGGGAACACAGCGAGACAGTCCTTCATTAATCTGAAGTCAGTGTGGAGATCTACTGCACTCCACTCCACTCAGCATAAAGCGTGAACAACATCTAGAATTTCAACACTAATGTCAGTCAAGTCAGCTCTTCTATGTGCTTCTATGGTTGAGAGACTTGGCACGTTACGTAAAGCATTTTCAACAAACTACAGACACTGATCAACAGCTGCTGCCTACCATCTCAATCTCTCTCTCTCTCTCTGGATACTGAAGATCAGATCAGATGGACAGAATGACAAGAATGAGCAATAAGGAACTCTGGGAAGGAACCAACCAAGAACCCATCACCCAGCAAATATGCAGAAGAATGTGGAGATGGATTGGATTAGACATAGACTGGAAAGACCGTTCAGGTACATCATACACCAGTCCAGGCCGTTGAGTGCAAAGCAAATGGGAAACGACGAGTTGGGCGTCTAAGGTGAGGGTGACATGTAGGAGATGGTGTGAGGAGGAAATGAAAGTTTGTGAGTAGTTGTGTAGCCGAGTTTAAAAGACTGCAGAGAAGTGGAGAGTGAAATGGTGACTTGCTACTGAAGCCTTATCTTCTACTGCGACCCCAAGAAACATGGAATACAGTTATATGAAGATGATTCTTATTTCATTTTCAAAGTCACCGTGAATAAATATTTAGTCCCCTGTAAATTTGACTTTTTGAAGTGTTTTCCACGTAAACATTCTAACAATACTTTTCGTCCAAGCGATTCCTGATGAATCTTTCTGCTCAATCAATCACTGCAAGGTAGGAACCGTACTCGAACGTCTATTGATAAAGTTCAACCCTGAGTCATTAGATATACTCTGGTGAAATGAAGGAGTAGGCTTACATAAAGGATCATCTATGTCCTAATGTAAATGACATTTGAGTTGGTAAGTAAACATCGTATGGGCTGTCTTAATAGGGAATTTACCACAAAACGTGGACCGTCTTGTATCTGGACATGAACCAGAAGGCTATTGCTGAGTGTTCAGTTCTTGGGAGTTTCACACTAGGAGGATGTCGCTGTTCCAGCTGATGTCAGTCCATGACGAGTACTACCACGAAATTCTAATTTAGACAATGGCATAATTCCAATGCCACTTGAATTACAGGAAATAACAACTTAATTGAATTAGCCTGTAAGTTTCTTTCGCTTGCACAGATATTACCGTTCATCCTCATTCTTGCATGAAATATAAACCAAGGCACGTAAAAGTGAATATTTTCATTCGTAAAAACAATCTTACCCAAATATTTTGAGTTTTGTTCTATACTACTGTAGCTTTTCAAGTAAGACAAATGTGAATGGAAAATTTATTAGGATAAGAACTCCCACTTTTCCAGGCTTTGATCTACATCGATGATCGGAATATCTGCGTTTTCATGCTGTATTTTCAGTTCTTATCATCATTATCGTCTATATTGCAACCGTTTAAGTCGACACTGTCAATACTGTCATTATTATCACCATCGTTATTTTATATTAAAGTAAGGCCTGAAGATCTAAATGAAAACTCTATTATTCGTTTACATGTCTTGTTCTAATTTACATAATGTGCAAATTGATTATAGAAACTATACGAAATTTTGTTTTAAGCACTTGTTGGTAAAGTGAATGAGCCCCATCACCCAGCCTTACATCACAATTTCGTCAATCCTCTTGATGCACTCGTTGAAGAAAGGAGTGGTAGTGCGAACTACACGTTTGGCTTAAGTAAGGTAGGCCAATCAAATTCAGTCCCACTTTATACAACTATTCAGCATAATGCTTCAAGAGCGCAAACAAATCAAATAGGATGTACAACAACTGGTTCAATATCTTCAGCTGAAAACATTCCTTCTAATCCATCTTGGCCATGCTCTTCTGACACAATTACGACCGGGGATAATTTTGCAAATAAACCCTGTTTTCTGAGGTTAAATGTGAGTTACATATACTTTTCTAGTTGAATTGTGTAATACTCTCCTGGGCACTCTTGAATTTCCTTTCCGATTGAAATCTGAAACGCTTTGAAAACGGTAACATAATATCCACCAAAATATCACCGACATGTTCTGAACTCATTTAATACTGCCGCAGTACAACATCAATAGCAACAACTTTTGTAGAATATCAAGAACTTTCAAATTAGAAACATATGATGATGATAAATTAAGTCATCATTTAACTTCACACGAAAATGTATGTCAGATGGATCAAATTAATCGTGTTTACTGAACCCCGAAATGAAAAGACACCATGTTTGCATTTAATTTATTATTTACATTTCTGGCCGATTTTTATTTGGCCAGTATAGACTCAAATAAACTAATGAATCTAGTGTAAACCTTCGAAAATGTTTTCGTTACTTGTTTTGAAAGAATCAAGCAGTAGTCATTGGTGGATTATTCATATAAAGTCTCGCATACTGCGTAGTCACTTTTGTCATTTAGCATACATTGAACTATTTGTCTAAACTTCATAGTCCAAGCTTGACCGAATGAATGAAAGCCAATCTCCTAGTGCACTGAAATTTAACATAGTTTAAAAACTGGTGAAAATGTTTACTTCAGAGCTCATTAGGATATATGAAGCTTGGAGATAAGCTTCATAGAAAATTTATGCACAAGATAACTAGTCACGAAGTCGTACAAAATACTCAATAGTCCGTCAAAGCTGCTTTGTATTTTCAGAGATTATAGCGCCTTAAAGAATTGACGATCAGCAATTCGCCATCACTGTTAGGTAACTGAGGATCAAACTGCTTACATTTATACTGTTAGAAGGGATTAAATTTGTAAATAATATGTTAAGTAGTGCGTTTATTTCAAATGTAGGTTTGAATTCACTAGTTAAGAATAGTTATCTCTCAGAGAGATTTCCTGGGAAAATGAAAATGAATGAAAAATGAAAATGATCGTACCATTCATTACATTGACTTGAAGTTGTATAAATTAGTAGGTTAAATTTTGACTCAGTATATTCGCCAAATTCTTACGAATTCTGAGTACTTTCTACCTAACCAAATGTGTTGTATTTGTGGTTTAGGCTAACATTCTTATATCACTAGTAGACGACCGTTAGATAATTCCCAGTTCTAAGGGTGCACTGGTTGACTTCAATACTTAGTGAAAACTGTCATCAGAAAATGAGCAACTAAATTAAAAGATTTTCCCTTAGGAAGAAAAGCACCTTGAAGTGGAAAGTTCGGGTGAATTCGCAAAAAGATATGAATGTGACACTGTATCCCTGTGAGGAGACTAACTACGGCTTCTAAATCTAAACATTCATGCATTCTCTGCACCTTAGCCTTTTAAATTATCTGGTAAAGAACAACCCATTGCCTAACTACAAAAGGTATGAAGTTGCAAAGAAATTTTGGTATAATATATATCATTACCTGTCAAAGAAGTCTCCCCGTAAGAAGATTATATGCAAGCAGAATAATAACAAAGTGTTAGTCAGCGCCTTACTCTTAACTTGACTTTTGGATTGTGAAGTATCAATTTTAAACTTGTGAGTTCGTTACGGTCGTAAGTGACAAACTAGTGCACAAAGAGGACAATAGATTTCGAATATTAGGTTCCTACCAGGTAACTCGATTAAGACAAAGTCATCAGGAATCATGAATTTTGAACATCAGACTCTCGTAATTAGTTATTTCCTGGCCACTTTACAATTATGGCATAAAGTGTCTTCGAAAAAGTTTTAGTTGATATTCAGTGTATTTAACCTATCTTGATTTTTATATTTACAGACAAGGTGTCCATCGATCCCGTTAAATCAGTTTACCGTCAGTGACGTCTGTCAATTATTTGCGAGTATCACTGACATTCACCCATCTAATATGCACACTTATTTAACAAGAATAAAACAGTTAAAAATCAATGGAATCATACTGTCTGTTTGCAATTTAGAAAAATTACAACAAGAATTGTTGATTAATTCAACAGACTGGCAGCTAATACATAAACTGCTTACTTGTTTGCGGTCATCTACTAATGATGGCTTCTCTGCTTTCTCAGAAAATTCACAACAACCTGTACGTGGTCCATCTTTGCATGAATTTGAAGTGAATGACTCAACTGCTGGTAGTAACAACACTTTTAAGACCAAAACTCAGCAGCCACAACATCATTTGTCCAATCACACTTCAATCACATCGGTTCTATCCTTAAACTCTGACAAGCTATCGCAATCATCAGACAGTAAACTGAAGAAACCAAACCACTTTCTTGTACGACAAACACCCTGGCTTATCTCACCAAAAATACCACTTACATCTTTAACATCAAATGGCAAATCACTTGAGCCCTTTCAAGAGTTTCCATACCAACAGCATCCTAGTCCAGATAGCTCTGACCAACAAAACTCATGTAGTGCTATGGAAGAACCAGAATCACTATGGAAAACTAGTAGTCTACTTCATGTCCGCACAAATCTGAATAAAAACTCCTTAGGTCAACAGCAAGAAAATAGATTAAGTGTAGTGAATGAAAAGCCAAACATTTTGAGTAATTCCAACCCTTTTTCAAATATGGAGAATTTAAGTGGATCAAAAGAGATCAAAGCCCCAGAAAAACATTTTAATAAGTCTCAACTAACTTCAAGTGTATCAGGTGGAACAGCAATGCCAAGGTATACATTTAATAAAGACATTCAAAAGTCACTTCAGTCAAACTGGTTTGCAATTAAAAACGGTTATGCTAGTCGCTCATCTGTTGACCTACGTACGGTTTTCGGTCCGGAACAAAAACCAACATCTAGTTCACAGTTATTTGGTAACTGTAAGGCTATTAGGAATTCAAAAAGGCATCGAGTTAAGAAGGCCTTAGTTGAGCAGCATAGAAGGAGACAGCAACAATGCCTTTTGACGCCAACTCCGAATTTCAGCTATGTAACTGATCCAGGGTTTTGTCCTGCTGGGTTCGTCTGTCCAGTGTCTAATCCTGGTGCAAATTTATATAACCAGGAATTAATGAACTGCACAAGTTTACGTTATGATCCTGACTTGCAAAATTTAAGACTTCCTAGTCTTAGACGTGTCATTAAACAACCGCGACATAAGTACGACTACAAAACTTTTGTCAACAATGCTACAATAATTAATAATGTTGATAAAAATAATGCTTGTGGTTCAGGAAATGTCAGTCCAATTAATAATTTAGGGCCAAACAAGGCTCAAATCAAACAGAATTGTATATATGAAGCAGCGAATAACAATAGTACTGACACGGATGACACAATTCCATCTTCAGATAATAAAAGTTCTCAACTAAATTTCTGTAGTCGAAATAAGGTGTTTTTGGATCACCTCAAACAATATCCACATGCTTTCCATGGTCCAGCAGTTTTCTCTTCACCGGCTTTAACACCGTCTCAACTAGCCAGTTTACAAACTTACGCTGCGTGGTCAACAAAAATGAATCCCTACTTCACGAATCCAACAGTTTTAACCAATATTGGATCAGTCCTTCCAAGTGACGTAAATAATGCATGGAAAAGTTACTTACAACAGCACCAGCCAAATATATCCTTACTGATGAAAACAAATACTCATCAGAAATCAAATCATAAAGCGTTTAAGCCAAGTCAGAAGAAAAGACCGAGGAAAACTAACTCAGAAGATGAGAAAACTATTATTGATCAAACTACGGAATTTTCATCCTCCTGCCTAATGAATCCACATACAAACTCAATGCCAGTGCCAAGTGATTCTGAGGCTGAGATGTGTACATGTGATTACTGGTATGAAGTGGAGAAAGCTAGAGAAAAGTTTACTATCAGTGAACCATCATTAAGAGGTGAGTCAGACTTGATAAGTGTCGATGATTTTGTATTGGAAAATGGATCACAGTAAAATGTCGGAGAATCCCTAAAGTCAACGAGTATTTTATTACGGGATAAAAGCAGACCATCGAAATGACATAAATGCTTGTACGATCAAACTTGAAGTTATAGTATATATTTGTACATTATATGTACCATTTCAAATGAGTTTTCTGTGCAGTTATCACGACTAATTTCACACAAAAATCAGTTAGTTAAGTTAATCATCAATTGAATTTGCACTTTCGTCGTCTGCCGAAATTCCTTAAGCAATTTGAGGCTTAGAAGACATGACACTTTTACTTCTACTCTCTCTCTCTCTCTCTCTCTCTCTCTCTCTCTATATATATATATATATATATATATATATATATATATATATATATATAATCTGCCGAATTCATAAATTTGTACATGAAGGCATTAAATCCATTTAAACCAAACTATGCACATAACAATCCATATCCTATAGTAAAAATATGACTTCATTCATTCTGAAGTACACTGAAGTGCTTAGATAAAGATGTTGAATTTGTGTTGATTTTACAATAAAGACATCTCAGCACATACTTTTCAATGTCAAAGACTCTTAAGTTGTTAACACTTGAGATCATTCCTACCAGCAATAATAATATACTCCTCGCCAGCTAAGACCGACTACACCTTCAGTGTATTTTCAGAAAGTTAGCATACAAATACAAAATCTTTATGATGAATTATTTAGTTGAAGTTAACAAAAGCTGTTTTTTTAACAAGTATGTTTCATAGATCTTTTAATGTATGAAACGCTTCTGTTATCTACTATCTAGATTCATAAGTACAATTCTTCGGTGCAAATGAATAGTTAGGACATAAAAATTATTACTTTTACTTATAGACAATAACACATTTATGTGATTTATATCCTGTGATTTTCTACCTTATTCCTAAATTCACTTATATTAATGCTTTGAAGTTTTAATTCGTTTTTTGTGATTGTCGTTTGTAAGCCACATTAGTGTATATTAAGAGACTAGATGAAAGTTGAAAAAGAAAACACAACGTTAATCAGTGATTCATTTCTCTAATCATCTTCAGTAACGGTGATTTGTTTCTTTCTTCATTTTGTGATTTCTGTTGCGATTTCACGTGGATGTTTATTTTTAAAAAAAATCTTTTTAAGCAATACATATTCATTAACCATGACAAATAAGCATTCCCACCGTCATCCAATTAATATTTGCTTAATATCCCTATCGTTTCGTTTTATTTAAAAAAATATTAATTCTTTTATGTGTACAAATGTAAGTAAAAATATTATGGCTATTAACACAGAGTATTACTGTTGTTATCATTTTATGAAATTTGTTGCTGTACTATGAAAATAATATGTGTATTTATTTATTTTAAGATGTTTCCTAGTTCTGATAACACCTGAAGATATATTTGCGTCAATCAGCAAAAATGAAACAACCATGCATCGATTATCATTGTATCTTCTTTTAAGAGTTGCCAAAGCGTTACTATTCTAGTATTCTGGTAATGTGTATTCACAGTTAGTCGACAGAAAGCTCCTGACCTATGTTATATGCTTGTTGCTACTCTCAACAATTGTTACTCTTTCCACTGAGTATGAAATGCGGAGACGTGATCCGTAGGCTGTTCAGCTAATGAACGGTTTCCTATAAACTCATAAATATATGAACTGGTTACATAGAGTAACACATGAAGACATCCAGCTCTGAATGCTCATCTCTGATTTAATTCTATCGATCAATTTTGCAATGGAAACGACGAGAATATCAGATGTCTTATGGTTGCAAACACTGTTGGCTAATGAGTTCAAAAAGAACAAGCGCTTCTTACAGAATTTCCTGCCGATGACCTGTCACTGCCTAAAACTGAAATACAACGCATCTGAGTGTTATATCAATAAAGTCTGAGGATCCTGAGACATGACGAAATCCAATTCATATTTCAAGACCTGTTTTAGAGAATTTTTGGACAAGCTGAACACTATTATAGTACATTCCAAAAGGGTCCTATGTGTGGTCAGATGGTATTTCACGAGTAAGATTTTAGTAGAATCGTAAGACAGTATTTCTTTTCTCCTTTCCAGTCGCCTGGTTCAGTAGTTCACTAGTTACCAGCCCGTCCTAAGCTCGGGTAAAGAGGGAAGGTTGGGCATACGGCTAGCAACCCTACCCCGGAAAACCAACCCAACCGCTAAACGAACTTCAAAGCACCGACAAAATATAAAACATTAAACCAAACGTATTCCTCACTGCAATCGAAGAGACGAAATGACGCCGGTTGGTGAAAGCCTTCGGGAAGCCAACTAGCCGATATATCTCCTCTCTCTCAATGAAAGCCAAAGTAAACATGGAGACATGGAATGTCCACACAATGTTTGAACCTAGCGAAACCATCAAGATTGCAAAGGATATGAGAAGGTATAGTATTGAAGTGCTAGGAATCTGTGAGAGCAGGTGGAATGGAAGTGGACTCTGCAAACTGTCAACTGGACAGTCAATAATCTACTCTGATATTGTCACCCAGACGATAACCACAAACGAGCACACTGAGTTTTGGAGTGGCTATCATAATGTTTCGGAGAGCATCGAAGACTCTCATACAGTGGAAACCAATTACCTCCTACAGTATCAGGATCATGACAGCAGGGTTCAACTCAAAACAAAGGGAAGTCACAATCATGCAATGCTACTCTACCCACCTACAATTAATGCAGATCAAGAGGACGAGGAATTCTATAGACAACTGCAATCACTTCCAGACAGGATCCCAGTTGACGACATAAAAATTCCTATAGGCCACATGAATACCAAACTGGGAGCGGACAACACAGGATGAGAACTAACCATGGGTCGAGAAGCACTTAGTGAAATGAACGAGAATGGAGAACTGTTTACAGATTTCTGAGCATTCAACGATTTGGTGATTGTAGGCAGTGTTTACAGACACAAGGATATTCACAAAGTGACATGAATTTGACTTCACCAGATGGACACACTAAAAATCAGACCGACTTCATCTCAATCTGAAGAAAGTGGAGATGCAGCCTACTGGACACAACATCAAGAATGGGAGCAAATGAAGGTTCACACCACTCACTATGTGGTACAAGAAACTTTCAAAATCAGGTTGAAAGCCTTCAACGAATTTGGTGAGAAACCACAATTCAAGTTCAACACCCAGAAATCAGACATGAAGGACGAAAATACAAAGAAAATCTTCACGTCAGCCATCAAGACAGAATGGAAGACATTGAGCAACATCCTGAAGAACCTGTGTTGATGAACACTGGAACTCTTTGAAAGCGATGTGGAAAGAAACCTGCATAACCGTATTAGCAAGGAAGAAGGAAGAAGATAAGGAATGGACCTCGACGGACACATGGAAGCTGATAGAGCTGGGAGAGGATAGTGGCGAAGCAGAAGATCAACCAGTGCAACTCTGAACAACGAAAAGGGGACCTGAATACAGCTTATAACACACTACACTGGACAAAAAGTGAAGAAGACTAGGCGGAAAAAAAGGACACTTCTACGACACACTAGCAACTGAAACAGAACAGCCTGCAGGTAGGGGGTGACAGAGACATGACAACACTGTATCAAATAACCAGGTTACTATCTGGGAAGAGATCAACATACATGAAGCCAATAAAAGATGATGAGGTAAATCAAATTAATACAGAAGCGAAAAAAGGCAACAATGGGCCGACCACTTTCAAATAGCTCTTGAATCAACCACCACCTCCAATTCGTCCAGAAATACTACCTGCAGCTCGGCCACAAAAATTCAAGTAAACACAAATTTTCCAACAAAAATGGAAGTCCTGAATGCCATAAAGCTACTGAAATGTGGGAAAGCAGCAGGACCAGATGGAATCCCACCAGAAGCACTGAGAACAAACACAGGGACAACGGCGGACATGCTCACACTAAATCACTATTGCAGAAGGTGTGAAAGAAAGGGAAGGTACCTGGCCATTGATTGGAAGAAGAGCTAACCTGTCAAATTCCCGAAGAAGGGAGACCTGAGTGTTTGCAAGAACTGGTGAGGAATCACTCTCTTGTCCACCCAAAGCAAGCAAAATATTATACCACATCATCCTGGAGAGACTAAACAATGCGCTGGATTCAAAACTATGACAGGAACAGACTAGCTGGCTGGCTGGCTGGCTGGCTGGCTTGCTGGCTGGCTGGCTGGCTGGCTGGCTGGCTGGCTGGCTGGCTGGCTGGCTGGCTGGCTGGCTGGCTGGCTGGCTGGCTGGCTGGCTGGCTGGCTGGCTGGCTGGCTGGCTGGCTGGCTGGCTGGCTGGCTGGCTGGCTGGCTGGCTGGCTGGCTGGCTGGCTGGCTGGCTGGCTGGCTGGCTGGCTGGCTGGCTGGCTGGCTGGCTGGCTGGCTGGCTGGCTGGCTGGCTGGCTGGCTGGCTGGCTGGCTGGCTGGCTGGCTGGCTGGCTGGCTTCAGGAAGTACAAATCATGTGTGGCTCAAATTGCAACGTTACACTACACAACATCATGGAAAAGAGCATGGAATGGCAGTCAACTCTTCATCTCACCTCAACTTCATCGATTTTGTAAAGGCCTTCGACAGCCTCGACCGAGAAGTAATTTGGCAGGCAACTGCTCCAACACTACGCAATACCACAAACCTTTGTCAGTCTCATTCAACAACTATATGAGGACGCCACATGCCAAGTAGTTCACAGTGCGAAGCTGAGTGATGCCTTTGAAGTGAAGATAAGAAGGAGTAAAACAAGGCTACCGCCTACTATCACCCATGATCTTCCTGATTGTGGTCGACTGGGTCATACAGCGAACAGTGAGTGGCGAGAAGAGGGAGATACGCTAGCTGGACCGTGGAAAAGAACCTAGAAGATTTAGATTTCGCCGATGACTTGTGTCTAATGTCACACAAAGTTGAATATCTGCAGGCGAAAACCGAAGTAGTTGGCAGAAGCGGCGAGGCAGCGAAGATGGGACTTCAAGTGAACGTAGAGGAGATCGAGGTAGAGGTTATGAAGATATCCAACCAACACCACCACAAACAACAAGCTCCAACCAACATAAAGTAGTGCCTTTCACCTATCTATGTAGCACTGTTTCAACCACAGGCGACACAAACGAGGATGTCAAAGCAGCCAGGATCGGAAAGACAGCAAGACATGTCTTCATTAACCCGAAACCAGTGTGGAGATCTTCTGAACTCAGCATAGAGCGTGAACAAGATCCGGATTTTCAACACCAAATCACTCAAGTCAGTGCTCCTGTATGGCTCAGATACGTGGCACGTTACGAAAGGCATTTCCAACAAACTACAGAAT